TTCGTGAAAATTGGAAAATAACGAGATGGGGTGGAAAACACGAATGTGTGAATGAGCACATTTCCCAGGGTCATAGACAGCTCGATGCGGACGTTATTGTAGATCTCGTGATAGGTACCTTTTTGTATTTTAGATGTGTGAATGAACACAAATGTGTAATTAAATTCGTTCGATGTTATCGAGGCACTGATATCCTCTTCAATGCAGGGATGATAAAGTCTGAACCATCTGTGTCTATCTCTTTGGTGCAAGAAAGGATAACTGCTAAATATGGCTTTCAAGTTTCCTACAGAAAGGCGTGGTATGCGAAGCAGAAAGCGATGGCAATTCTGTACGGTGATTGGGAGGAATCATATTCTTTTTTACCAAGGTGGTGTGAATACATGCTCGCTTTTCTTCAGGTTCATTTTATCATATACAAACTAATGATCTTTATGCCGAGCAGAGCTTAGTTTCTGGAAAAAAGGTTTTTCATCGCATTTTTTGGACGTTTAGACAGTGTTGTGAGGCGTTCAAATTTGCCAAACCCGTCATACAAATTGATGGAACACATTTATATAGAAAGTACAAAGGGAAATTGTTGGTGGCCACAGCCCAAGATGGTAATAATGAATGTTTACTGATCGCATTTGCCATTGTAGAAGGCGAAACTTTGGAAGCATGGGATTATTTTCTCGTTAATATTCGTGCTCATGTGACTACGATGTCAAACATATGTTTGATATCCGATCGGCATCGAAGCATAATATCTGCTGTGGAAAAAAACCCTACTTGGCAGCCGCCAAATGCGTATCACGTATTCTGTATTCGTCATATTGCAAGCAACTTCAATCAAAAGTTTCGAAATGAAGATTTGAAGCGGATGTTAAAGAATTTAGGTATACTCATTGACTGAATGCGTAATTATTTCTTTCCATTATGACTGTCAATTTATGTTTAATTCGTTCATGTCCAATTTGTGCAGGTTATACTCCAGCAATGGTTGATTTTGAAAGGAATCTTGCGAGTTTCCGTGAAAGTAGTCCTCAAATTGCTGAGTGGATTGATGCGATTCCTAAGGAAAAGTGGTCACGTGCCTACGATATTGAAGGACGGAGGTGCTCAGACGCCGCCTGACTAGGACCTGCCGCATACTGCGATCCGTGATGATAAATCGGCTGTGACCCGTAAGTAGGACCAAATGCTGGAGGTCTGAACCATCCCTGAGTCTCGACCACTGGTCTAGGTGCCATAATCGGGACAGGCTCAGCAGCAACTCTCTCACGTCTACGTCCTAATCTGCGTCCCTCCCGTCTATTACGAGGAACATCCACGATCAACTGAGGATCAGGCTGTGTCTGCACGGGGGGTGCCTCAGGCTCATCAACTCGTGAACTCTCACGAAACATCCCAATAATCTGGCCTATCTCCTCGTGGATATACTGTAGTCCAAATCGAGGAAACTCCTCCGCCTCTATTGCATGATAAAGCATTTCAAGACCGTCAATCTGTATATTACGAAAAAATGTTAGAAATGTGAAACAAATGTAAAATAAGTACAAAACTCACCATGCGCCCTATCTTTGCTGCCCACCGAGATATGTAGCGCTTTCCCCTCTCTCTGTACCACTCCATGTACGCATGATTAGGTGACATCAAACCATATAATGGAGGTGGCAGTACAATATGCTGAATCCTGGTATTCCATCGATCAATGTGAGCCCTGAGCTTACGTCTCCAGTTCTCTTCAACCTTCCGCCGTAGAGTATGATCATGTATTCCTCTCAATTTTCTAGATTTTTCCGGGATGGGTTGATCAAGACCGAACTGTCGCATGCACCTATCCGGTTGACATGCCTATACTGTGTGGAAGTAGATAATAGGTGTGGCAGCAAGCCACAGATACTGCTGCTCTGGAGTCACGTCAAGCCACTCATATTCTATATATGGCTGCCACACCACCTACAAACAAAATGTGAAACAATATATAGAGTTACAAAAAAATAAATAAACCCATAGACAAATAACAACATCGTAAGTATCCAACACCAAACCTCATCTCTACAGAGTGTGTCCAATGTTGCCCAATAATGGGTGACCTCATGAGGTTTAAACTTTTGTACAGCATTAAACCTGTCAATCAGAAACATTATCAACCATACATAATCGTCCAAAGTCACAAGAAGTATACAGTTAGTATATACATTATTAACCATACATTATCGAAATCAAATGAAGTAAATAAATCATACCGGCATCCATAATGTGTGCCCGGCTCTGGATGAGGAGGAAGGGGTGGAGCAATGGGTGGGAATCGTATCCATGCCCAAATTTGAAGGAGAATATGGCAACCACCCATGTCGCTTCGACGGGCATCTGTCACTTCACACAAATTCCTGAACAAGTGTGTCAAAACTGCAGATCCCCAGCTGAATCGGCCAATGTCCTCAGATCCTCCACCTAGCAACGGGACAAGCCGGCAACCAAAATTGCTACCTCCAGACTTGTCTGCCAGCAACCAAGTCCCCAACATCCGGGCAATGTGGGCTTTTGTGAAGTAGATCTGGGCAGCATGATTCCCCTCATGATCAGTCCACCGGGTATAATGCCGATCCAAGAATGAGATGCGGAGGTCGCCGGAATGATGGAACTCACCGGCCTCTGGAACATGTCCAAAAACAGCAGCACATGCAGTGTGCCAATCCTCAGAGGTCGATCCGATGACGACAGTACCGTCGGTTGGCACGCCCAAGATGCCTGCCACATCTTGTAAGGTGATCGTCATCTCACCTTGGGTCATGTGAAAGGTATGTGTCTCTGGTCTCCACCTCTCGACCAGAGCACTAATTAAAAATGTATCTATCTGTGATAAATTACGCAGTTATCACGTGTTAACGAATTTTATTAAATAATTACATAAATACAAAACGACATAAATAACATACCTGGATATGTTGCATCCTGGCAACATGTATGAAACCCGCCTGTCTGAGGTACTCTTCGACAACCTGTGGAATAGCACCGGTAGGTGGGCCGCCTTGTGGCTTCCCACGCCTAGTCTTAATCTTTCTTACATGCTCAGTATTCCACACTCGCTGTGAAATATGACCTTTTTGCGTCCTCTTACGAAGGACCTCCCACCTGTACGGCCCAGGTATGATCCACATGCTGGGAATCGGTGGGCTCTACATCCGAATCAGATCCCGAAGAAGATGATGACTCAACCATTATCCTCAACTAACTACAAAGTTATGCACTACGGCATTAATAACATCATACATACGAAATTTACAAAGTCTCTAACACTATTTATAAATCACTAATTAATATGCTAAACCCTAATACATAATTAAAAATCGGTAATAATAATAACTACGTAATAATAATATTACTATATCATTACAACATTCATAGCATGACACAAAATTTCTAAGTGACTATCCTAATGTTCCAAGTCTCTAATATACAATCAATCCTAACATGTATTACTAACTAGCACTGTAATTTAAATGTATACATATGAGGTATTATGACCTTACCTACGTTGGCAGAGTTTCGCTACGAACCGCGGTTAGAGAGAGGTTAGAGAGAGGTTGGAGAGAGGTTAGAGAGGTAAATGAGTAAGGAGTGAAAAAAGGAAAGTGGGGTATATATAGGTTGCACATGAGACGCCCCCTTTGGCGTCACATGTGACGCCCCAATGGGACGTCTTCTCCAAGGGAGAGACGTCTCACTGGGGCGTCACATGTGACGCCTAAAGAGGACGTCTCATTGTGCAACAGATGTGTCATTTTTAACAAAACAACATTAAATGCGTAATTATTTTAATTAATTACATTATTTTAATTTTTTTGCGGAAATTATTCATTTCCAAATTTGTAAAGTATATTAGGTGGCAAATTTTTATTATGCACAGACAACGAGAAGAATCACCGTCCAAGCAAATCAATTACAATGTTGATATCTTCATTTGTAAACTCTTCCAAACCGTAATTTTTTTATTACGACACAATAAATTTTTTTACACACGTAATATTTTATGGGATCTATATTTTTTGAAAAAAAAAAATTATGACACGCAAAACGAGTTTATATAACATTACGCAATCATTTTTCCCACAACATAACTCTTATAAAATCTAATTTTTTAACATCATAATCGATAAACCTTTTTCTCAACACAAAAAAATACACTTTCGCAGGTTGATTTTAAAGCAGAAGTGCACATTTTTTCTTTTAATAAATTAATTACTCAAGATGATAAAATAATGGAAAAATGGTGTTTCATTTTAAATGGTACATCTTATGTCCTTTTACTTTCACAAAGAGGTGGAACCCACATCTTTAAAACTTTTTTCTCTCATTATCTCTTTTATGATTGATCTCTTTCTCTTATGAGTAAATATTCTTTTTGGTTCTCAGCAAATTTCACGAGATCCGTTTTAGTCCCTAGCAAATAAAAAGGCTCATCGTGGTCTCTAAAAAATTAAAAATGGACCCATTTTTATCCTTTTGAGGACTAATATGGGTCCTTTTTGAATTTGTGAGGAATCACGATTTCAACTAAATGGGTCCATTTTAAATTTTTTAGTGACCACGATGGGCCTTTTTATTTGCTAGGAACTGAAAGAGGCATCGTGAAATTTGTTGAGAACCAAAAAGAGTATTTACTCTTCTCTCGTTTAAAATCACACAACTTTATATCGATTTAAATAATACATAATTTTTCCTAAAATAATATATGAAAAGCTGTTTTGGACAGTTGGGCGAGTTTAGTAGTTCAGCAGTTAAAGAGCACGCGCATATTGTGCATGAGTCATGACCTCAAGTAAAATGACACGAAGTGCAACCAAATTCTTTTGCATTATTTAGTGCAGAATACAGGTGTGGTGCAAAGACGTCAACACCAACAGACATAGAGTATTTTTTGTAAGCAGTACCCAACCAAATCCACCCACAGTAACACTTATCAAACCGACACTAGTTCACAAGACAACCCAACAGAGACACGTGTAGGAGGGTTCTCGTAGTACAAATTAAACAACCAAACAAATTAAACTCATTATTATTTTTTCATGAATAAAACAAAAAGCAAGTGCTTTTCCGAGAATCTAGTAATCAGGATTTGCCAAAACGTAACCCTCGATGGCCTTGAAAAGTCCATTTCCCTTTGACTTTGTTTCCTCACGCACCGCTTCCGATAGCACTGAATCACCTTTGGTATAGTATTTGACATTGACCTTTCCGATGGACCCACCATCAGGGCCAGGCACCACCTTAATCTCGAATGACACTTTCTCCAAACTTTCATCCAACCCAGTCCCTCCCACTATGCTGTAGTCGTATCCCAAGTTAGCTTCATCGATTGCTTCCACTTTGTGTAGCACATAGCCGGTTTTGCCACCTGCAACAATCATAAAATGTACTCATGTCACACACATACACACACAAACATGTAGCTATCTAAAACTAGCTAATTAATTAGTCCGTTTGATTTATTATTAGAGAAAAAATCACCAATATCTATGTAGTTTATTTCATAATCATCTGTATTTCTGTGATTTTTTTTTATCACATATATTCCTGTTATATGTTTTTTATCGTATATGTCTATGTGATTTTTTTACTTTTTTACAAACTAAGAGTATATGTAATAAATAAAAAATTACAAAGACATAAATAATTCTGAAGCAAACCACAAGAGCATTAGTAAATTTTTCCATTATTATTATTATACTTAGTGACTCTTGGCTTGATTTAATTCGTTACGAAGTTGATCTCATCATTTCACTTATTCTAATTATATATAGCCCCGTAGACAGATTGTTGCAACATCATTATAAAAATATTTAACATATTATGTGAGAGGATCTGATCATTCCTGAATAAATTAAGGTGATGAGAAATAAAAGTGAAAAAAAAAAGATTGAAATAAAAGTAACAAAAAAATAATTATTGATTTATTAATAAATTATTAAATTATTTCATATGACATAATTATGTTAAATAATATATTAAAAAGTTCATTCTTTAAAAAATTAGAATAGTTAAATATAAGTCAAATGTTAAGATTGAGAGTGTAATATTTACTGATATATTAAAATGATAATTTAACATACACTAACCTTCAACAAGGGTTAGCTTCTTGATGGTTCCGGGACCTCCATTTCCTTCGACGATTTCAACACTCTGGAAGGCCTCAATCATCTTTGGGATGATACTGTCGGCATCTTTTGCCAGAGCTTTATAGAGTTTAGCTGGAGCCACGGTTGAGGGGTGCTCATCATCGTAAGCAAAAACACCCATGATCGAGAAACAAGATTGGACTATAATGCAAGTATGAGAAGAGGATGGGGGATTTGTATATGAATACAGCTTAGTTTGTATTGCGGTTTATGAGATGGGAAGAGATGGTATTTATAGACAGTACTGGCTAACACCCTCACTCATATAGATGCTACTCTATTTAGCTGAAGAAGTGCCCCGAGTTTATTGGGTCAATCTGTTTGGTATTGTATGTGGACAATCTTTAACGGAATTGGGAAAAAGAAGACTAAGACTTAGTCCAAATAGACGGATTTAAAAATGAGCCGTCTCATTTTTAAATATCTTCACGTACCATATTTAAGTGAGATTTAATTATCTCTATCCTTTACTGTTTCACACTCTAATCGACTTAAAAAATTAAAGTTTATGAAAATATTAAAGAAATTAACTCGCTTCAAAAAAATAATTAAAATTAAGTTAATTCAAAAAAAAAACACTAAAGCATTAAAAAATGTGTACCGAATTGAAATTATAAGGAGAGTTGAACGTAGTGAGAGAGAAAATTAATTTCCTGGTCCCTCTCTCTCCTCTCTTCTCTCTCCTCCTTCTCTCTCTCCTCTTCTCTCTCATCCCCTCTCTCTCCTCCTTCTCTCTCTCCTCTCTTCTCTCTCATCCCCTTTCTTTTTCAGGGAGTGCATTAATTCGGGAGCATTACATATTGTGAGCATGAGCAATATTGTGAAATTCGAATTTTTACATAGAAACGAAAATATGTGGTAAAAACATAAAACGTAGAAACGACACAAAACGTAAAGCTTCTTTTTTCTATTATATATGGTCAAGATACAAAATTATATATATGTATGTAAAAAAAATATTACATAATGAACCTGATGTTTAGTCACTTATCTATCTAAAAAGAAAAATTATTTTTGATAATCAAGTATCAAAATTGTAAACAATGATAACTAACAAATAATAGATAACCAATCTGCTCTAACTGCTTCATACACTCTGCAGATTTTATATCATTGTTCATCAGGATATAATTCCACTTCTTTCAATGCACACAATGATCCAAAAACACAAAACGATTCTCATAGCATAACTTATAATAGAATTACAGCTTTATAAGACATAATTATAAAAGACATATATCCAAACAAAAAGTTATCAAGATACTAGCATATGATTTGGGGAAAACAAAAAATGTTTTTTTTTTAATTTCTTTTTCTGTAAATCTTTTTTTTTTAATTTTTTCGTTTTAAGTAAAAATGGTAAAAACGTAAGTTTTTATCGTTTTTACACAGCATTTTTATCAGTTTTTACCAATGACCATTTTTACTTGCATTTTAACACGCATCACTCTAATAAAATTATAAATTTTTATATTTTTACACTAGTTTTTGACAACAATGTCTGTGAGACTATGGCACTAATCTTAGAGCAACTAGTTGTAAGAAATCGTAATACCAAAAAAAAAAAAGACACCAATGGTGTAAGAAATCAATTTGTTCTCTCTACCTTTGATATCAAGATTCCAACTTAGTGTCAGGATTTAGTGGGTTAATTTTCTTAAATGCACGAGGTTGATATGGATTGAGAAGGTACATTTATCGTATAAAAAGTAAAATAAAAAATAAGTTTTTACAAAAGCTAATGGCTTAATGTAAATGGAAATTGTCCGTGCTTTTTTATATCATAGTAAAGTAAATTAGCAAATTATTTTTTATCTAATGTTCAATGAAATAATAAATAATAAATAATAAATTAGAGTCATTGAATATAAATAAAATCTATAGCCAAAATTAAGAGTATAATTTATACCGGTGTAAAATAATTTTATTCATTATATTATTCTATTTATATTATCACATTTTAAATTTGTTTATTACATATTTATCTTTTAGTTTTAGATTTTTTTTTTTACTTTTTTATTTTTCAAATTTTTTTAAAAAAAAAATTAAAAAAAATATTTATTTAATTTCAATAAATTGAAAAAAATGAATACTTTAATATAAAAATAAAATTAGTAAAATGTCTTAAAAATAATAACTTTTCATATATATCAATATAATAGATTATTCTACCTATATTTTTTCTTTCTTATCTTGCTTATTAATTTGTAATACTATTAGATCAAAATCTCAACTTTAATCTAACGATGTTGGAGAATGATAAATATTAATAGATAGGCATAAAAAAAGAGTTGATAGAATAACTTATTCTTATATCTATAATTTTTCTTTTAATTTTAATCTTACAAAGTTCTACATATAATAATAATAATAATAATATTTAAAGGGACAGGATGCTTTGATATTGATGTCAAACTTTGAAATTGACATCAAATCTTAAACGTTAATTTTAGTCACTCAACGATTATTATTTATTGAAAATTAATAATTAATTAATAAATTTAATTCGTAATAAATGATAATTGTTGATATACAAAATTAACTATTAGAATTTGATGTCAAATTTTAAAGTTTGATAGTAATATCAAAATGATACTATCTCATATTTAAATAAGTTTGTTGAAACATCTTTGTTGGTAGAACTGTGAAACATTTAATGAGAGCACACATGTAATACATTTTACCACTCGTTCATCACCTTTCTCTATCGTGGAGGGCTCTCTCTCTAGACTTTCTTTAGGCCAACCTATGTGGTGCGTCCTCTCTTTTAATAAAAAGTGAAATCAATTTAATTTTCAAATTATTGAAAATAATATCAAAATCATCATTCTATAGCGGACCATGAGAACACCACTGATGGGGCTACATGTATAGGAAATTGATGTTAGGTTTTATAATTAATGGACTAAATCGACTTAAACATTTTGCTAATTAACTTAAAATCCTTTTATTTGATTGAGAGACTAAATAAATTTCAAATTTCTTGAAAATACCAAATTGATGTAATCTATTTTATTAAGGAGATTAAAATAAATATATACTCTTTTTTTAATAAAGTTAAACTATTGTATGCATAAGGATAATCTGAAATACTAAGAAATATTCTCGATCTCTTTAAAAAAACATTAGTTGCATTAGTCAATCAATTTTTATCGCTTGAGATGAGATTTAAGATTATAAATAAGTTAAGCTTAATTACTTCAAATATTATTTTGAAATTTTAATATACAATATTATCGCAATTATGCAGCAAATGCACGGCACGATACATGTCCCCCTTCAACGTGGGTGTAAACTGGTGGATCAAAGTCGATCTCATCAAATTTTGTGACCTAGTCATCAGCAAATTGATGAGAAAAAAATTATAATTAATTAATATGTTCAAGTATTAACAATAGACACACATATAGAGGCAGAATTCTTTGACACCGGCATCGAATTTTGAAATTCAACATCAAATCTTATCCGTTGATTTTCGTCAATCAACGACTATCATTTATTGAGAATCAAACTTATTAATTAATTATTAATTCTCAATAAATGATAACCGTTAATTGACAAAAATCAACGGTTAAGATTTGATGTTAAATTTTAAAGTTTGACATCAGTATCAAAAGATCTTATCTCATATATATATATATATATATATATATATATATATATATATATAGGTAAAATTATTTCTGCAACCGCTTTACGTATAGCAACGACAAATATATTGTTATGATTTCTCACATTTAATGCTTTGCTTTCTAGTATATATATGGCAAGTATTTGATTGCTGCATATACAACAATCTGCAGAAATATAAACCTCATATATATATATATGGTAAAATCATTTCTGCAGACGCTTTACATACAGCAACGACAGGTGTATGGTTATGATTCTTCATATTTAATGCTTTCATCCTTTGTATGGTTATGATTCTCCTCATTTAATGCTTTCAAGTATATATATGACAAAATTTGATTGTTGCACGTACAGCAGCTGCAAAAATGTAAACCCATATATATATATATGAGGTAGGATCCTTTGACACTAGTGTCAAATTTAAAGTTTGACACCTCATCTGATAGCCATTAGATCAAAAAAAATCAATGGTGTCACGTGCTTACAAATCAGAGTCGTTGATCTTTTTTTATTTAACGGCTGTCAAATGAGGTGTCAAATTTTAAATTTGACACCGGTGTCAAAGATCCTACCTCTGTATATATATATATGATGGCAATTAATCTATACCATAATTATATGGCTATTTCTACTGAAATCACGCTGACTATTTGGTAGATTAGAAGTTAGATGGTCTTGATGTACAACTCACTAGTTTATCTAAATTATGCACAAACACATTCCTTTATAACAAAAAATTAAAAAAAAAAAATTGTACCAAAAAAATAATTAAAAAATAATAATCAAACAAATAAATATTTGGCATGTGTAATTTCATTAATAGCTGTACAATATTTAAAGGACCTAAACTCCTTTATTAGTAACATCAATTGTGGAACTAATAATTTTAGTTATAACAATAAAATTCAGTCAATCGATTAGCATTAAGTCATTAACCGTATTTGTTCTACTGAAATCACGCTGATTATTTGGTAGATTAGAAGTTAGATGATCTTGATGTAAAACACTAAAACTCACTCGTTTTTCTAAATGATGCATAAACACATTCCTTCATCACAAAAAATTAAAAAAAAAAAAAAACAAACAAACTTTTTTTTGGCATGTGTAATTTCATTAATAGCTGTACTGCTGTACAATATATAAAGGACCTAAACTCCTTTATTAGTATACATCAATATTGGGGAACTAATAATTTGAGTTATAACAATAAAATTCGGTCAATCGATTATTAGCATTAAGTCATTAACCGTATTTTGATATATTTCAACTAATATGTCTTATTACATCAAGTTGTGGCCGATGAAGAGAAGAAAAGAAAAACAAAATTGGGAAAACGACAAGGCTTGACTTAAAGAAAAAAAAGAAAAAACAGATCTCAAGGACGGCAGAGTTTCAAAACTGGCACCTAATCATATCGATTTTGTTAAATTGATTTCACATTCAATAGTCAAAGAACTCTGATTCTTGTATTTAATTTGTCTCTTACCTTATCGGACGGCAGCGAGGAATATCGAATTGAAGTCCATTTTATTTACATGATCATTTTTTTTCCCACATTTTATGATCATTCTAGCCAGAAACTACGACGCGCTTTAATTTGGAGTTGTTGTTTATAATTTTTTTAAGGTTTTATAATTCTCATTTAAC